GATCATCAAAACATCTTGCAACCTCATACCCAGGGCTCTATCCCTAATCCACCAAGTTTTTAAATATGACTCCATATTTTAAAACATTTTCCACTTGGCGCCAACCATGGTCGCGTCTTAGCAATTGCATTATAAGATTGAGCTGTTTTAGAACATGTTTTGGTGCATGTAATACATATTCATAATCTGTATAGCTTATCATTCCTTTAGTTTAAGATATAGTTATTGTAGTTTTAGCTGGAATAGTAATTAGGAATGCATGAACTTAGTTTTATATATTCGTCATTTCAGTTTACGACAACTATAAATGACAATTTTAATGATTCTCGAGGAGTAAGGTTGTTGCTTGGTCAAGACTATTAAATTGTTGCCTGTAAAATATATCACTGAATTTGTTTCTTCGAACTCTAAAACGCGTCGTGACGTAAGCAAAATTGTTGTCGTTTCGAACAGTTTGCGCAGTGGCTGTTACATATCCTATGCTATCAACATAATGCTACTCAAGTTCTGCATTTCAAAAGTGTTTATGAAAGGGGGACTTTACACATCCATTGTCTGGATAAAACGATAATGAACATGGAATATAAGATAAAGTGAAAGTGATACCTGATGAAAGCAAAGTGTTTGTCCAGAAATTGCAGATTGTATTCTTAAAATTTATGGAATTTTATTTAAATTAAGTTACCATAGATATTCTTAACATTTAAAATATTGAATGTGATAATACATCCCATTATCCATGAGTTTGACTACCATAACATTCAATTTTTCCAATTGTAATCAGTTCAACCTTAGGCATAATATGACCTCTTTAAATTTCTATTTACTCATTTGCTTTATCTCAGTTTTTATGATTGTTCTTCATTTTAAATTCAGTAATAAATTATTATTAATATTTGTATCATAGCAATTAAGACTTATGATTATGACAAGTATGAATACTTTACTATCTCGGACTGATTCTTTGTTTTTAGTTAAATTTTGTTCACTGATCTTTCTTAATGCATTTGGTCTTCATTAATGTCACAGTGTGCCTGCAAGAACATTTCGGAAGTTTCTGAAAACATTTTAGAAACAAATTATCTTCAGTGAAATTCGTTTAGACATTTTGGAATTAAACATGCAGAAGTGAAGATCTTTGCTTAAGATTTCTAGCAGCAATTTTTCCTTCTGATAAGAACTCCTAGTATGTATAGTAAAAAGGTCCCTAGGATATTGTATAATTTATCATACTCACAACAATGATCACTTAATCATTCTGCACAACACTGGGTGATTCTGTCTCCATTCTAACATTCGAACCTAAGGCAAGAGAATCTGAAGAGAGAGAAATGTATCTATTTGTCATTTCATGCACGTATTTTGAAACAAAATTTTTATAATGTAGTTACATGCATGTGTATCCACAAGTATGTCAGGTAAAGCTTCAGTCGTCTGTGCCTGTCTGAAAAAGGCATGAAATACGAAAGGTACAAAAAAATCTCTATGCTAGGAACTGGAGAAAATGTGTTAAACCAAAACTGGAGAAAATGTGTTAAACCAGCACTGGAGAAAATGCGTGCCAATATGTGTCTATAAGCATCAAACTGCAACAATAAGTTAACTTGCGTGGGCGTAATTAGCCTCCTGATCTAAGCTAAACAGAAGAATGACTGAATTGTTTACGCATTGCATAATTTTTTATACAAAAATTTCCCTTTAAAAGTAATATAATAGTAATACGGTTGATGTTTTTGGGCGTAAATGTGTTTTGGCCCTCCTCAGAACACATTTTACAGTGTTCTTTGCTGTCCAACAACCTGTTCTTACATATTGGGGCCAATGTCGCCAAATATTGCCTACTACCGCCCAAGGTCATCGCATTTGAATTTTGCTGTAACATAACGCTTCTATGTCAACATCATTTAAAAGATACCAAACAGAGCATTTATGGCCAACCAGTTTTTTTATATAAACATACATTGATGATATGAATTTCGCGTCACCGGCGATAATATTTCACAATAAAAATATCGAAAAAAAATTCGGGCAAAAAAAGCCGAAAATCTGCCCCCTAGGTCCAATTTTACGTCAGAAATCGATTTCCGGGGTCAAATTTACCCTAGGGGGAAGGCATTAGGGAGTTTTGTCACATTTTGCAACCGCATGACAACATTCCGAGCATGCGGTAAGAATGCGCTTAGCAACAATTATCACTTAGAACTTATAAAATGCTATTTTCTCCGCTTCTTTTGCACATCCTACCCTAACAATTACTCAGAACTATAACAGAATGATAGTATGTGAAATTCAGACATTTTAAAGAACACAGAGCACAAAAAAAAGCGAGAAAATACTGAATTTCTAAAGTAATATGGTTGCTATGGGGAGTAATTTGAGATAACAAAGCAACATATTATTTGATTCATGTTTTGACTTATAATACAAATGCAGTTTATTACTATATGCAGGTTTTAAAATACTATTTAAATCGTCTTTTCAAGCTCTATCGTTTGGTGGTATTCCAGGGTCTTTAGTCCAAATACTTGCTGAGATATTTAATGTTTTGCTTTTCCCGACAATATTGTCGGGTTGAATATCCACCTGACGACAATGAGTTAAAGTGCGAGAAATGCAGGAGACCGAAGATATTGATGATTATTTTCGGATTTTTGAAATGACGGCTAAAACACAGAAAATTCCTCGGTCAGAATGGTTAGGAAGTTTGGCACCACGTTTAAGCGAAAAAGCTAAATCGATATTTTTGGAAATTTCAGAGCTAGATGCCTGTGATTATGATAAAAGTAAGGAGATTATACTGAAATCCTACCAACTTAATGTAGACCATTATCGGTTTCAATTTCGTTATGCCGAGAAAAAACCGGATGAAGATTTCGGGCAATGGGCTCATCGGACGAGGCGGTATTTGGATAGATGGATGTCAGTGGCTAAGGCAACTGGCGATCCTGAAAAGATTTTAGATCAATTAGTTATTGAACATTTATTACATAGTGTCGGAGCAGAATTACGTGTTTGGTTAAAAGAAAAAAAACCGGCCACAGCTGAGGAATTGGCGATGTTAGCCAATGAGTTTGTACAAATTAGGCAGGGTTCTATAGTAAGTGGCAAAGTTGAACAAAGGGGAAAATTTGACAAGTCTAAAGTTAAATGTTACTCCTGCCAAGAGAAAGGGCACTATGCTTATGAATGTAAGAGCCGGAATGATGACCAGGGTGGACACTTGAGTATCTCCTCTACCCCAGGTTATAATAATTATGATCACATGCATACTAAGGGGCAACTAAATGGGCAAGTCATAGACATGGTTATTGATTCAGGGTGTTGTAGAACCTTAATACATAAGAAGTTGGTTGAAAATAAATGCTATACGGGTGAATTTATGACTGTCTTGTTGGCGAATGGGGACCGGACGAATGTTCCATTAGCGTGGGTGGAAATTACCAGCCAACACGGAGTTCATAAAGAGTTAGTTGGTGTTATGGCTAATCTCCCTGTAGACTGCTTGTTAGGTCGCTCCTCGTTTGGGTTGTCGTTAAGTAAGGAAGATTTATTAAAACAATGGGACCAATGTGTGGGGTCTATGGGTAAGCTCGTAGACGTGACTGACGGGCAGGCATTTGTTCTTACCCGTAGGCAGGTTGCGTTACAGGAGGCTCAAACGCGACTAGATCAATGTATAGACGAACAAAATCAATTAGTCGCTGGGAAATTATATTGGGAGGAGAGTATGGATAGTAATAAACAATTAGACGATTGTAATTTAAGTGAGCTATTTGAGTCTGGGTCCAGATCTAATGATCCTGAAGATAAGCCCAATAAAGAAGGCGAGGTTCCGACTGAATCTATTGAAAGGAAACGTAATCTCCTTAATCGCAATCGTGCTCTATTAATTCAGGATCAAGCTGGCGATGTAACTTTAAGTAATCTAAAAATTTCAGAAAGTGCCCCGATAGAAACTGAGGGATTTTTCCGAGAAAATAATGTATTGATGCATAGGAAATTTATGAAATATCCGCATGATGGATTATTTCATGTAGATCGTATCGTTGTGCCGGAGATATATCGACCGGAAATATTGAGACTTGGCCATGCCATACCTTTAGCTGGCCATCTGAGACAGGAAAAGACCTATGAACGAATAGCTATGCATTTTTTTTGGCCGAATGTATAGCGAAGTAAAGAATTACTGCGCAATTTGCCCTCAGTGTCAAATTGTTGAACGCAAACATGTCAGTAATAGGGCTCCACTTCATCCTGTAAAAATAGTTATTGAACCCTTCAAGAAAGTAGCCATTGATTTGGTAGGGGAATTGCCACGAAGTAAAAATGGGTATAGGTACATTTTGACCTTGATTGATTATGCCACCCGATATCTCGAGGCCACTCCACTCAAAACAACCCATTCAAGGGTGGTTGCAGAAGCCTTAGTGAGTATATTTTCCCGGCTGGGGTTACCAGAAGAGATTAGTGAGCTTAAGCAAGTGACGTTTTTGACAACACGAACGGCATGAGTAACTTCCGGGGACTGGATCTAAAACGGCGGTTTAGATGTGAAGTTAAATATTTAGCTAACACAAATGTGCACAATTACGGCATCTGTAACGTCATTGTTTACATTTTTGTATTTCGCCTTCACAGACATAGCCGTTTTCATAAAAATGCCGTCTTTCAAACAAACCAGGGATCTTTTGTACGTAAGTTACTACAAGAAACTAATAACATCCGACCAGTTATTGCTTTTACTGGAAGAGAATACGTCTCATAATCCAGAATTTGATCACGGACAGTACGAAAAGTTTGACCTTCAAAGCATCCCAGAACCTGAATGTTTATCTTATTTCCGATTCAACAAGGCCGATATCCCTATCTTGGCAGAAGAGCTTGGTTTACCTGATACATTTCACTGCTATCAACGCACTACTGCCGGAAAAATTGAAGGTTTATGTATACTTCTTCGTCGCTTAGCGTTTCCTTGTCGCTATGCTGATTTAATTCCTTTGTTTGGTCGGTCTGTCGCTGAGTTAAGTTTGATCAGCAATAAAGTTATGGATGTAATTTACAATGCTCATGGACATAGAATGACGGAATGGAATCAGCAAATTTTGAGCCCTGAAAACCTCGAAATCTATGCAGACGCTATACATGCGAAAGGAGCAGCGTTGGCAAATTGCTATGGCTTCATCGACGGCACTGTCAGACCTTTGTGCAGGCCAGGTCAACATCAAAGATATGTGTACAACGGCCATAAACGACTACATTCAATCAAGTTTCAATCTGTTACTTTGCCAAATGGTTTGATTGCGAATATGTTTGGGCCAGTTGGTAAGAATCTGAGATTTATATTTATGTATTCAACTTTGACATATATAACAACCCTGTTACTATAACATGGGGTGCAATATAATAATTAGCAACCGATATCCAATGCAATATGATGCAATGCTATACAATGTAAAAGAAAATACAATATACAGTGCAATGCAATGCAATGCAATAAGCGCTTTCAGCAAAGCAGACCATTTCGGGTAATCAGGGCAAAACTGAAAAGAAATACTTGACTTGTGACCAATGCTCCTTTGAAATTCACTGCACAGGTCAATGATTTCCTTTAAATTTTGCCCTGATTACCCGAGATGCTCTGTTTTGGCAAAAGGGCTTATACAATATAATGCAAGACAATGCAAGACAAAGTCACATTTGGTATTTATGCTCATAATTTGTGCTATTCTCTGACCATGCATTGAGCAACAAGGTAGCTCTGATTGTACATTTAGAGGGGAAAAGGCACGATGCTGGGATGCTTGCAGATTCCAACCTTCTCGCATCTTTGGAACAACGTGCATACTCAACTGATGGACGTGCAATGTGCCTGTATGGGGATCCTGCGTACCCATTACGAGCCCACCTACAAACCCCCTTCAGAGAGGCTGCTTTGACTCCACACATGATGGAATTTAACAAGTCTATGAGTACGGTTCGAGTGACGGTGGAATGGGCTTTTGGCGAAGTCACAAGATCTTTCAGGTGCCTTGACCTAAAAAGCAACCTGAAACTTGGTCTCAGCTGTGTAGGCAAGATGTATTTAGTTTGTGCATTGATTCAAAATGCACTAACATGCATGTATGGGAACCAAACATCAAAATTTTTTGAACTAAATCCACCATCTGTTCAAAGATATTTTTCATAATTCTTGATTGCATACATCAATTACTGTACAAATTTGGTTAATCATAATTAATTAAAATTAACATAGTACAGTTGTAAATTTAAAAGAAATGAACCTTTCTTGTTCACTGTTTATCTGCAATTTTATGGTAAAAAATACCTCAACCAATTATTTGGTAAATTTTTAAATCTAGATCCTTTGAAATGGCAGTATCTAAAAAATTATGGACATTTGGCCTCATGAGAAAGGTTAATTTCAGTTGTATATAACAATTAAATTAATTAATATAATTTGTACAATTAATATAATTTGGTAAATACATTACAATGAAATTGAGTATTTTAATATAAATATATAATAATAAAGAACAACAATTTTGTCACAACAACATTTTTGTCATCATATATATTGTTTAACGGTCTGACATTTTTTCTATAATATTTAAAATGAGATTATTTTGTTGAACCATCATCATGCTAAATTGGTTCATATTTTGCTGCTGTATTGCCATCTGTTGGGCCATCATCTCCTTGAAGTCATTGTGCTTTGTTTCCTCTGCATCTAACCTTTCTCTTTCCAGCTCCATCTCTTTCTCTTTCATCTTCTGATCTCTGTCTGATTGCTTCCTCAAAACTCCATCGTTTCATTTCCTGATCTTCTCTTTTTCACTTTCTTTTCTTCCATTTCTTCGTCCTCAATTTTCCTTCTTCTGGTTTCCCCTAATGTCTCCATAGCTTTCTTCCGGACATCAATGGCATTCTCTTTATCCTCCATCAATTTCTTTGCCTGCTCTTCACCTAGTGATGATCAGTACATCACTGAGTATCATATCTTACATGCTGGAGGGCAGAATTAATACAACCAAATATTTACTTTACATGAATCAATACCTTCTTTCACCCTTGTCTCTTCAGAAGTCTTTTCTTTCTCCATTGCTTCCTCAATGAGCAGGTCGAGCTCTGTAACCTCTGGTGATATTCCTGAAGCCCTCTTTTCAAAAGAGAGCCTGGTACGATGCTTCTTGCAGAGCAAAGCATATCTATCTTGAACAGACCGCCTATTCATTGTGTCTTTGAAAGAAGGATCTTCCAAGCCTTTCAAATTGTTGATCACTTGCTGCCAATAATCAGCTCTTTGAGATGTTTTTTTCTTGGCTTGGAAGGGATTTACCATCAGTACTTCCTTTAATAGCATGGTATCGTGCAACTTTGTCCATGCCATTGGAGTACTATAAAAAATTAAATATATACTGTTGGACATTATTTCAGCTTATTAAATGACTTAGCAGTCATTTATAGACGTAAAAATGGAAAAAAAATTCTTCACAGGCAGTAATACAGTATCAACTAATCAAGGTTCACCTTGTGCAATACAAATGAAATATTCAATAATTCAAAGACTCGCGACGTTTGTATCAGAACTTTTTGAACGAAAATAAAATGAACGTTTAGGTCATATGACTTGATTTTCATTCCACATTTTTCTATAAATCCATAATTATGAAGCTTCGAGCCTTGGCAGTACGTTTTACCTTTGAACTCCTTGAGTATTTTCGGATGCCATCACAGTTTGTAAGCTTTCAATCGCTTTCAGCTGAAAGTAGTAATATTACTTTAATAATATGTCGACAAATGACAATTTTTAGCAAAAAAAAACACAAAAAAATTGCTTTTACCTGTCACGTTTCTGTTGAAAAACAAGAACGCCAAAACACTCAAGTTGCCGTCTGTTACTTCGCCTCAAAAACTGCTCACGCCATCAAAATCGCCAAATTTACTTCCGGTTCACGTTACAGATTAAAAACGTCGCTTGCTTAAGCTCACTATTGTTTCTGATTAAGAGGCAAATTTGGTAGGAAATTTTATGAAGCAATTGTATGAACTTTTAGGAATTAGGCATATAAAAACATCAGTCTATCACCCGGAAGCTAATGGGTTAGTAGAGAGATTTAATGGAACGTTAAAGCATATGCTTAAAAAATTTGTAGAGAAGGAAATTGAATCCTGGGATAAGTATATACCCTTTGTGTTATTTGCATATAGGGAAGTACCATGTCAGTCAACGGGATACTCCCCTTTTGAACTATTATTTGGAAGAACGGTAGGAGGACCTTTGGCTGTAGTTAAGAACACCTGGGTTTCGCCAAAAATAGCGGGCGATTGCTTGAAATTGAGGAAATTGTTTATGAGAATTTGGAAAGAACCCAAGAGAGGCAAAAGAAATTGTATGATCGGCAAAGCACTCTGAGGTCCTTTGTGGTTGGGGATAAGGTGCTGGTGCTGCTACCTACGCCCGGAAGTATATTAGAAATGAAATGGAAGGGCCCCCTATCGGGTACCGCAAAGTTTAATAAGAAGGGTAAATGAAGAATTGAGTCAAATGCTGGAAATGGGAATAGTTAGACCATCTAAAAGTCCATGGGCCTCTCCTGTAGTTATAGTACCCAAGCGGGATGGTACAATTAGGTTTTGTGTTGATTATAGAAGATTAAATAATGTCACTAAGATGGACGCATATCCTATCCCTCGCATGGATCAATTACTGGAGAAAGTAGCCCAAGCTAAGTACATTTCGACTCTGGATATGACGAAGGGATATTGGCAAATCCCCTTAAGTGATGAGTCTATCCCAAAATCTGCTTTTATAACTTCCCAAGGGTTATTTGAATTTACCGTCATGCCGTTTGGCATGAAAACTGCGCCAGCGACTTTTCAACGTATGATGAAACATGAGGTATTAAGCGGGTTGGAAGCATTTGCGGATGCATATATTGATGATGTAGAAATTGACACATCCACTACTTTTGAACAGCATTTATTGGATTTGCGGCAAGTGTTTGAGAGGTTACGAGCAGCTCAATTACGCGCGAAACCTTCAAAATGTAGATTTGCTATGCCTATGGTAGATTGTATTGGCCATAGGGTAGGGGGAGGTGTCATCACCCCTAAAGATGCACTTATTGAGACGATATTACAATTTCCTAGGCCGGAAACATAAAAAACAAGTTCGTTCCTTCCTTGGACTTGTCGGTTATTACCGCCGCTTTATTCCAAAATTTGCGGATATAGCCGCGCCACTTACTAATCTAACTCGGAAATTTGAACCCACTAAAGTGGTGTGGAATAACAAAGTAGAAAATGCTTTTTTGAAATTGAAGCAAAAACTTACTTCCCCTCCGGTTTTGCGGTCTCCATGTTGGGACCATGAATTTGTTTTGAAAACGGATGCATCCGGCTACGGTATGGGAGCAATTTTAAGTCAGTTGGATAGTAAGAAAGAAGAACATCCCATTGCTTTTGCGAGCCAAAAATTGCAGCCACAAGAATTAAAATTAGCAACAGTAGAGAAGGAATGTTTGGCAATTGTTTGGGCCGTTGAAACTTTTCGATATTACCTTTTCGGTAGAAAGTTTAAATTACAAACCGATCATAATCCTCTTGTTTGGCTAAACCAAGTTAAAGATAAGAATCGGAAATTGCTGCGATGGAGTTTAACTCTTCAGGAGTACGAGATAGAGTATGAGCATAAGGCAGGGGAAAGGAATGTGGATGCAGATGCGTTGAGTAGAATAAAGTCTGGTTCTCAGCATAGGAATCTACCTTCCCGATGGGAGTTTTTTATTTGGCTGCTCCTCTCTGCCGGTATGGGGGGTTGTTGCTGATGTTATGCACTCGTTAGACGTCTCAACCTTATGATCAATTACTGTCGTATTTGATCTTTGGTGGGAAGGTGTGAAGAATAGTTGGATTATAATTACATGATAATTGAGTTGTAAATATGGTAATTAATTAGGGGGATATTAAAAAAAAAAACTCGGGAGAGGGTGAAAAATCAAGGTCAGAGAGTTGAGACAGGACAAGTCAGCAAACCGGTCCAAAGAGTTAAAAAGAATCTTTTGAGTGGAATAAGCGGAGTATTGGGGTGATCCCGTCTAGAAATTACTACGCTATATCTACGCTATATTTGATAAAGTTGAAGTAAAGCCTTGAAAGTCAAGTATATTGAAGCGACGGGGCTACTGAAGCAAAACCCTGAAGTGTGGTGAAGCTGAACGAGTCAGTGTTGCAATAACCAAAACCGATAAAAGAAAAACCGTAAGAGACGAGGGTTTCCCTGAGAATCGCTTGGTGATACATCGTAACCAAAGTGTTGGGCTAGCCGAAGAAACAAGACAGACACTCTCTGGAATTAGGGTTTGTTTGAAAATACTGTAGAAAAATAATAGTTAGGGGTAGTTAATTAGAATAAAAGATTTTATTAATCATTAGAATACTTTTGTTGTTTTGGATCAGCGTTTGCAGCACCTACGTCGACGATAGAAATCGTCACACAGACCTATATCCATCTTACCTGCATTGTCAAAGGTCTTTGGAAAACTAATCCTTCAGCAGATGTCAGCATACCTTAACCAACAAGACATCCTCCAAAAATCAATGGCAGGTTTTCGAAAAGGTCATTCTACCTCAACTGTTCTTTTACGAATACGAGACGACATCATCAAAGCTATGAAGAAAGGCTTTGATTTCTCCAAGGCATTTGACACAGTCGATTACTCCATAATATTATGGAAGCTCCATGCCATTGGCTTTTCGCCTTCATCCTTGAATTGGGTTTTGAATTATCTGACATCTCGAAAGCAGTTTGTTCAGATAAATGATAAACAGTCAGATCTTGAAAGCGTACATTTTGGTGTTTCACAAGGCTCAATCTTGGGTCCAGTTCTTTTTAATCTCTATGTTAACGATTTACAAGAATTGCCTCTGATTGCTGTTGCTTTCAATATGCGGATGATAGGACCGTGTACAACCATTGCTCGCCAAAAGATCTCCGCCCAGGTATTCAAAGTATAACTAACACTATACGCAATCTGCAACTATGGGCAACTGATTCAAATCTCCTATTAAATGGAGAAAAAACTAAACAGATGCTGGTAACGAGTTCACAAATGTCTAGAATACATGATCTAGGTGAGATAGTACCCCCTGTTGTTGTCAAAGGAAAGAAACTCAAAAGAGTCAAAACATTTAGGCTGTTGGGGACCTGGTTCAATGAACATCTTAAGTGGTCAGACCATGTAAAGAAAGTTGTATCATCATGCTACGGCATCCTTTTGATCCTGAGGAAAGTGAAGAATATGGCCCCTCAAAATGCAAAGAAACAAATAGTTGAAAGCCTTGTATTATCTAAGCTGGGTTACAACGATGTAGTGACCTACCCTCTACCTGCCTTCCTGCAGAAAAAAATCCAACGCGTACAAAATGCAGCTGCCAGCTTTGTTATCAACCAATATTCCACTGAGAAAGATATGGTGAAACTGGGTTGGCTTCCCACTCTTGAGAGAGCACAATTTAATTTACTTAAAAGTGTCTATAAGTCAATGTATAACCCCTTGTGGCCTAAATATCTGCCACTAGAAATACATGAAACATCAAGGTGTTTACGCTCCAGTGCTGCCAAGACAGTGCAGCAACTTTGTTTAATAACTTGCCTGCAAACATTCGATCATGTGTTGACGAACATTGTTTTAGTCGTCAAATAAGATCAATTTTAATGAATAATGCAAAGGAAAGACTTGGCTTTTTAGTTTTTTGATGTTTTTACCTAACATTTCCTACTCTAAATATAATAAGTAAATATTTTAGTAATATAGTTAAATTAGTTAGATTCACAAATGTAGAGCTACCCTGTAGATATGCTGTGATTAAATCATTATTATTATTATTATTATTATTATTATTATTATTATTATTATTATTATTATTATTATGTGTTCACTCCTCTACATGATAGCGACCTTTTTAACTGCACAACAGTGCATTGTTCTATTGTTTCCCGGAATATGTTCCTCGCTTAATGGAATAATTTCGTCCATTTAACAGTATATTTGTTTTTATTTCAAACTTGCCCAAGCTTGTCCGTCCAAACAATCCATAGATGCATTGCGAGTCATGACTAGACCCAGTACCTTGCTCGATTGGGAAAAGGCTAATTGCTTGTTTTGCCAAGATTAAACAGTGGTCAACAGAGTCAAAAGCTTTTGCAAAATGTAAATAAGTCATGTGAGTTTGTTTGTTGTAGTTAAAGTTTTCTCCAATCTTGTGAACAACCTGTAGCATTAAGGTGACATTTCAATGGATGAAGGATTTTACCTTTGTCTTCATTGTACAATCCACTTTTTATATAACCTTTAACTCTACAAAAAAAGCCAGCAAGGATTTAGTATATCGGCAGCGGTTAAATTAAGGAACAGTAAATTTTGTGACATTTCTGCAAATATACCTATTATTAAATTCACCAAGCTATGTATTTTACTTATCAAATTAGTAATTTACAGCCCTTAATTAAGTTTCGGATTAGCACTTGTATTGTTATTTAAGTTTTGTTTGCAAGGGTTAAAATATATCAATAAATATGCACACATACTATTAATATGGTAAATACCTGTCGATTAATATTGCTTTTACTCCTGATGTGTTCGCTCCTCTACATGATAGCCACCTTTTTAACTGCACAACAGTGCATTGTTCTATTGTTTCCCGGAATATCTTCCTCACTTAGTGGAATATTTTCGCCCATTTAACAGTATATTTGTTTTTATTTTAAACTTGCCCAAGCTTGTCCCTCCAAACAATACATAGATGCATTGCGAGTCACGACTAGACCCAGTACCTTGATCGATTGGGAAAAGGCTAATTGCTTGAGTTTTGCCAAGATTAAACAGTGGTCAACAGAGTCAAAGGCTTTTGCAAAATGTAAATAAGTCATGTCAGTTTGTTTGTTGTAGTTTTCTCCAATCTTGTGAACAACCTGTAGCATTTGTGTTATATCTGATCGGTTTTACAAGAATCCATGTTGACTGAGGGAAAGATATCTGATTACCTGACCATAAAGTTGTTTGCATCAAAACGCTCCACTATTTTAGTGGTAATGGGCAACAGAGATATTGGCCGGTAATTTTCCGCTGGCCCTCTCAAGCCTTTCTTGTAACCTGGTTTCAAATTAACTGCTTTCCACTTAACGGCCAGTCGTCCAACACACAAGGATAAATTAAACAATTCACAAAGTCTTGCTGCAATACCACGACTACATTCTTTAGGAATGGGTGCTGATATTCTGTCTGGGTCACAGCCTTTTGTCGCATCTAGATTTCTAAGGTGGTATTCAACTTCCTGCACACTCAATTGGAATTCGCCAGTATTCGTCACATTTGGGAGGTCTTCATGATTCACCATCATTGATATAACCACTGGGGATTGGGGACTTTTGAGGATAAAATTATTCATGGCCCAAAGTGAACACAATGTTTCACATAAGTTATTCCTGGGGGCTTCCACTGTCCATAATGACAGGTTATTTGGTGGATAATACAAAGAGTAAAAGGACTGATTGGAATGCTGTACACTAATCAATAATAACTTGTTTACTAACATTTGGTGGATACTGTTTGAATTTGACATTCTCTTTAATACTGTAGTTTAATAAAGTGGAAACACTGTTTGGTAAAGTGGAAACATAGTCAAAAAAAAGTTGTTGTAGTTTTTGAAAACCTCGTGGATATGATTTTTCATACGCTATTTCGACATAATTTTTGTTGTAAAAATAAACGAAATTTAGAAATTATCCAGTATCCTTAGTGCGTTAGAACTCACAACAGTCAAAATAGTTCGACTTGGGAACGGAAAGGAAATTAATATTGCGCAAAATATACACAATACATGAAAGATTTCAAACACATTCAAAACAGTGATACGTGGAAAATAAAGGATATTTGAGGAAGAAACATCAACCATTACCGAAAATAAAAGAAGCAAGAAGAAAAAGGAACTCAGAGAAGAAAAAGTTCAACGACGAAAGTAAGGGATTCATAATCGTCTTAAAAACAGAACTGAAACTATCTTGTTTAGAAGAAGCCTTTAATGAAGTCAAAGGAAAATACTAAGCAGTAAGGGAAATTCATTATCAAATTACCGATTTAATGTCTGAAGCAGAAGTTGACAGCGCTGATTTTGCCAGCGCTGATTTTGCCAATCATGATACATTTATTCAAGAAATAATTGTGGCATATGGTGGTTTACTTTTACAATTTGAGAGGTATCGAAAGCATGTTGTAGCACAAGCAGCATTGGAAGAAAAATCGAGTGTATGTAGTAGTAACACTGAGGTAAAACCGAAGTCCAACCTTGAAAGAATTAAAGTACCCCAATTCTCAGGTAACATTTAACAGTATTGGACATGGAAGAGAATTTTCAATGATACTATGCAAAGAAATCATGAAGATGGAGCAAGTCAATTAGCCAGATTAATTGATGCAATCCAACCCCCTCTGAAATACGAAGTTGAATGCTTTACCACCACAACTGCTATTTGGAAGTACCTAGACAACCTATTTGGTGATGACAAGGAGTTGATAATACTGATGAATGATATGAAAGTGATGAAGCCTCTTAAAACCAGGGATACTAAGTCAATTAGAAATTTTGTGGCAACGATCTAAGACTTGATTTTAAGGATGGAAGATGTTGGAGCTGCTGATGAAGCTAAGAGTCATGTTTTTGCTGATATCCTAGCCAAATTAACAATTGAAAATCAAAGAGCTTATGGACAGAGTATGATTGATACCAAGAAGACTGAAAACTTGGAATCGAAGTATGAATGCCGTGGAAGCCTGGACATCCCAATCTACCAAACAACTGGCCGACTGCCTATCAGAGAATGGTGTCGAAAGAAAAACAACTGGTAAAGAAAAGGAAGTTGGAAGCATTCAACAAGGAAGTGAAAGCTTTTGTCGACAGAGAAGTAGTCGTCAAGCTTCAACCTGATGCGGTAAAATCGGATGAACCTGCTTGGTATCTACCAGTCAGTGAAATCGAAAGCCCAGATTAGAGTACAAAGTATAGATTGGTGTTCGATTCGGCTGCAAAGACGGAGGGGTTGTCGCTCAATGATGCACTTGAGAAAGGCCCGTGACTTATGAATTCCCTCTTTGACATCTTGATAGGATGGCGACAGAAAGAAAACGCCTTTGCAGGAGATATCTCAAAGATGTTCAATCAAATTGCTGTCCATCCCGACGACCAGAAGTATCATAGGTTTCTTTGGAGAGATGGAAAAACCGATTAAGAGCTGGATGTGTATCAGTGGGTACGTCTCAGCTTTGGGGACAAGTCCGCTCCAGATCTAGCAACCAACACATTCAATCTTCTGGCCAACCAAGCTAAGGACGAATCACCTGAAGCAACGGATATCCTCAAGAGTAACACCTACGTGGATGACATTGCCGGATCCAAAGAATCTCCAGAAAAAGTTCAAGAAATCACTAATTCCATAGATGAAATCCTGGGCAAAGGCAAGTTTACAGTCAAATCGTGGAATAGCAATAGCGAAACCTTTGATCAAGCCCCCGGTGAAAGTTCAGTAAATTTATTGGGTCATTGCTGGAACAAGAAAACTGACAAGATTTCATTGAAAAAAAAAAGCTGTGAAAGCAGATCTCGAACAGTGCACGAAATGAAAAGTCCTCGGTTTAGTCTTGCAGCTCTGGGACCCCCTAGGAATGTTTGCGCCTGTTACTATTCGCTTTCGTACCGACCTGTAAAATCTATGGGCAGCGGGACATCAGTGGGATGAGACATTGTCATCAGAAGAAAAATCAAAATGGCTGAAAAATCTGGAGATCATGAACGACCTACTAGGAACCCAACTAAAGATGAAGATCAGAATGTCAAAGGGAAGTTACGAAAGGCCGATAGCAAAGTTATGTCTGATTGCAACACAGAAAGAACTCGAACAGAACTAAACATTTTTATGACATAGTTAAAGATACTAATTTTATAAATTTATAAATAATTTTATAGAAATTTATAAATTATCCGGTATCCTTAGAGAGTTAGAACTCACAGTAGATATTAATCTTTTGCTTTAAGTATATATTACGGTGTTTGAATGGCTTCCAGTTTCATTTGGTTGTGTTCATTAACAGGAGAATTTTGGTATCATAGGAATGGATTGTTTTGTCAGGATTATTTTTTATTGCTTTTAGTGCATCAGTTATAGCATCAGGTTCAAACAAAGCTTTGTTTTCTTCCACAATAGCTTGAACGTCAGGTTCATAACATTTGTACGTATATGTTTGATCGGAAATTAGGAGCTGTTTCGTTTCTCCAAGGAAAGTACAGCATAAGCAAATTATGGAAATATAACTCTAGTTCTTTTCTTTTATTTGGTGTATGATATCTTATAATAGCTTGAACCTTCCTACACTTCATAGTTTCATTTCTGTTCATTAATTTAATTTTGGGTGGAAGAGATTGTTCTGTATCTTCCTTCGAGTGATGGGATTCAAGCAAGTCATCATTTAAAACATCAGGTTGAGAATCCTAGTTTCAACATTCCTTTTATAAACATAATCTATTGACAACAGGAATCCTTTTCGTCTTAGGCTATAATGCTCAATTATGTTGGATTTGTAAATATCTGTGCTGTCGTGATCAAGTTCATCAAGCTCACTTGGAGTTTTAGTCATACAGTCTCTTTTCTCTGGTAAATCTGTACTAACAGAAACAGTCTTTGGGAATATATTTCTCAACCACAGTTCAGGCATACATCTATATACACATTCTTGTGAACTAACCTCTTTTGTAGAAAGAAAAGCAGCACCATTTTTTTTAAAGTGTCTCTGATGTTCATGTTGGATAATTTAGCTTCCTTTGAAGCGTTAAGTATAGCCTAAGAACATTCAGATTCATCCTTTGTAAAATATGAGCATACATATGTTATGCATTTGTAATGATTAAAAACTTGTTGTAGGTCAAAATTTGCTGCAAATCCCTTAATCCCAGCAACAGAATAATTGTTAATAAAACAACTATCTACTGGTCATTTAAGATGTAAGTCGAAATCAGAATCTGGTGAAATCGAGAGAGCCCAGTAATATTCATATACCAATTGAATCTAATATATCTTTTTCAGTAGCAGTTGCAATATAGTTTTCTTTTGACGATGAATTCATTACTTCGTCAATTTTGTTTTTGACTAATATTAGGATTTCTTTTCATCTATTAAATATAATGCATTTGGCTTCCTAATCCATATTCTCATTGAGAGGCTCAGCTATAATTGTTTGTTTGGTAAAGAACTGTCCAAAATTAAAACGACATTGAAAGTTTTTGTACTTTCTGTAGGTTTTCGAATAGTTATGTTTTTGATATGTTTTGACTAACTCGGGCTACTCTAGTTCATCTTGTTTATTAGGAAGGTTAGCCTGCACATGTTCATCAATAAATGCAACATAGGCATCCTTGCTCTCAGAAGTAAGTTTTGGACACTCAGAAGTCCATACTAATGCATCTAAGTAGGGAGATCCTCTCATTTGAAACTCAATTCGAAGAGCATAATAAGTTATTTTGCCTATTGGGTTACAATGACTAAGAAGGACTTCACTAAAAAATGTTTCTACTCGGTGTTGAAAGTGTTTTGCAACAACAACAGCATTAGCATTCAACATTTAACACCTTTCCACATACAATAAAGCTTCAACTTCTTCAGTTATATCTTTTCCTTGTGTTCTATTTGGGAACAGACATCTGGGTTTGCTCTTGCCCCAACATTCCCATTTGGGCCTGAAATAAAGTATTATTTATATGATACTGCACAATGTGCTGCATTGTAGGGTCTAGTTTTTTCATAGACTCTATTACAAAGTTTCCGAAGGCTTCAGACTCTCCCTCTTCAGGTTTAGCCTTTTTTTTTTCCTTATTATTTTGAGCAATTGAAGAGGCTAATCCCTTCATGACTTCAAATTCTTCCTCTGCTAGTTTCCTCTTCAGGGATTTGGGCCTTGGCTGTTGAGGTTGCTTTGTTGACCTGGGTGTGGTTGTATCATTTACATCATCGAGCAAGTCATCACCATCTGGGTCAAGATCCCCCAAAATGTCACCAGTCTCATCATTATCACTGTCAGCTACATCAGTTGGTGTTATGGGAGCTGTCTAATAAATAATTAAAGTAGATTATTAAATAAACAGTTTCTAGAAATACAGTAATACATTTGAAACACATACTTTTATGATATACTTTTTCCAAATTAGAGAAACTGACATTTACTAAGGTCTACAATGAAAACTTTATTTTTCAAATGGGTATGGTGAGGTCCAATTTTCATGCACAGATAGATTATCTAGATAATCTGAAGCTCTAAATAAATAAAGATGCAGAGCTAAAGAAAATATAAAACTATTTCTATAGGTCCCATCAACAGAAGAAGAGTGGCTAAAAATTGCTGATGAGTTCCAAGCACAGTGGAATTATCCCTGTTGTATTGGGGCATTAGATGGAAAGCACATTGCAATTGAACAACCTGCTGACAGTGGTTCAGAATTTTTTAACTATAAACACTTCTTTAGTGTCCTTCTTCTTGCCCTGGTCGATGCCAACTACAAGTTCGTATATGTGAATGTTGGAGCTACTGGACGTGCAAAAGATGCAGGTGTATTCGCGGATTGTTCTTTAAAGAAAGCTCTGGCAAATGAAACACTAAATCTTCCACCACCAGAAACTATTGCGGGTGTTTCTGGAAAGATTTGTTATCATATTGTAGGCGATGATGCATTCCCTCTGACAAAGAATATAATGAAGCCTTATCCACACAGAAAACTAGATAAATCAAAGCGAATCTTTAATTATCGATTATCAAGAGCCAGACGAGTGGTTGAAAATGCATTTGGCATCTTGGCAAATCGATTTAGAGTGTTTCTCACAACTATCAACCTCGGACATGAGAAAGTGAATGACATTATTCTTGCAACCTGTTGCCTCCACAATTTTATGGTTGCAAACAACATGAGCAACTACACAAGCTGTCAAGATATTGAAGATACCGATAATCAGCAGTTCATACCTGGTCAATGGAGAAGAGATGCCCAATTGCATGGAATACAAACAACATCAGTTAGAAATTCGTCAAGAAGTGCAAAAGAACAGCGAGTGGAATTGACAAATTATTTTGTGTCCGAATATGGCTCTGTTCCATGGCAAGACTACATGTGCAGTCTTTAAAAAACTATGTACTGTACTAGACAAACCTTCATATAAGTAAAACATATTTTACATGGATTTATGTAGTTTATATCATGTGTATTTTAATTAGTTTAAAAACAGGCATCCCAGCGGGCACACAACGTTGTTTCGACGTCGAATTTTGGTTGAATTAAGGTCGCGACGTCGATCAACCAAGAATCAACGTTGTTTCGACGTTGTTTTCACGACGTTGAATCAACGTCGCTGATCAACGTTGTTTCTACGTTGAACGAATGTTGATACCTGACGACAAAATTTTCGGGGGTGGTTGTATAAAGAAGTGATTAAAGTTAAGAGTATTTGAGAGTTAGTCATTATTTCATTATACAAAATAGCGATTGAAAAGTGATTAAGACTTTTATAGGACCGGTCCTGTCATCAATTATTCCGATTTACCCAACAGTTCAGCAGTATATTTATGAACAATTATTAATCGACTGAATATTTTTGTCCTGAAATAAACCCTTCTATTTGAGAATAATATAAGGCAATATATAGGCTGAGCCGCTGAGGTGCCCTTATAACTTATAGGCTTATAGATTATGCAAAGCAGAAATATCCCTTTATCTACTTATTTGGTATCTAATACCTTATATGGTGCACGGCCACGCGTAAGCCTGGTGCGAGTCGGAAGCGGCACAAACAATTTCAATCAAAGCGTTTTGTGTTGCGGCGTGTTTACAAATTTCAATTTTCAAGTGCTTTTTAATAAGTGATTTGGGCCTGAGGGTTTATATTTTATTGATTTGTTCGGGGGATAATTGAATTGGTGTCGTGGTAGTTGAATTGGTGTCGTGGTAATTGAATTGGATCATTGGATTATCAAACAAACAGGTTGGTGTCATTATTGTTTATAGTGTTTTGTTCGATCCAAGAAAATAATAAAAATAGCGCAAGAAATATCTTATAAGGCCATACTGGTCGCGCGGGAATACCTGTAGTTTTAATAGATAATAAAGGTGATCTTGGATAAATTTCCTTATTCATAATTTCATATCCTTATTTAAATACTGTTGGCGAACGGCATCCATTGAAAGCTTACCGGCAACACTTCGTCTCGCAAATTGCAATCCGTCCCATATCTTAGGAATCCTTTCATTTAATGTGTTACTTCTTAGTATTTCTTGATGCTAAGTGTTTTTTATGGTTATTTCGTATAAACTTATTGTGTGTAAACAAATAACACACCTGAAATTTATTGTATGAAAGACGACATTTGGCAGTGACTTTGTATTATATCCTACCCTTTGTGCCATAAGCTAAACTGCTAAAACTGCTTGCCCTTATCTACAGCACTGGTAAACTGTAGTTTCATACGTGTGTATAAGAAATTGTCCTTGGATATATATTGGGACAAATAATGTCGAGTCACATATCAATGAGAGATATTTTCTGTTTAATTTATAATTCAATTTTTCCATAGTCTTCTCTGAGAGTGCATCAGGCCTGTAGTTTATGTGAAATTGGTGTAGTAATGGGTTTTCTCAAGATCCCCATTTTGTACTATCCTTGCCCAGCAGGAATTAACCATTGAACAGTGGAAGGGTATTATAGGCATGCTTCCCCTGTATATTTTAGATACTGTGTAAGTATATGTAACATAATGGGAGTATGTTCTACAATAGAAACAACCATTTTGAATATTGTAGGACCTTGAATCTATGATATGGCTTATTGGCGTAGTTACAGAAAGTTCTCTGCTGAAGCAATTGCTCTTGCAGCGTCTGAAAATGAAGACAATCCTGAATCTTTAAGTCATGCAAATGATCTTTTGCAAAACAGTTGTAGTGATGAGTCATCAAATTATAGTGATACAGATAATCCTGAACTGATATATAGCTCTGAATCAAACTCTGATACTGATTTTTCAGAAAATGAGCATGAAGGAAATTTACCTCCTAATGATCCTTCACTCTCAAATACTAATGATCCATCACTCCCATCGGAAACATTGAGAGGGAAGCTTGCAACCTGGGCAACAAAAAACAAATGCCAACGCACTGCTGTAAATGAGCTACTTCAAATTCTTCGAGGGCAGGGACTTTGCCTTCCAAAAGACAGTCGCACCCTTTTGCAAACCCCTCGTGAAGTAATTACTTTATCTAAGTGTGGCGGGCAATATGTATACCTGGGGATTGAAGCTGGCATAACTGATATTCTTTCGAAAAATGCATCTTTAATAGAAAAGCACACCACAGTTGATTTGATGATCAATGTGGATGGACTGCCATTGTTTAAATCTTCCACTTCCCAGTTCTGACCTATTTTAGGTTATTTCAATAAGGTTGAAGTCTTTATTATTGCACTCTTTTATGGTAATTCTAAACCAAGTTCTGTGGATGATTATCTTGATGATTTAATCGAAGAGCTTGATAAGTTAAAAATTCATGGTGTAAATTTTGAAGGAAGGCAACTTGCCTTTAATCTGAGGTGTTTTTGTTGTGATGCTCCTGCAAGGTGTTTTTTAAAAGGTATAGTTGGTCACACGGGCTACATCTCTTGTGAGCGGTGTAAAATTAAGGGGTAATGGAATGGCAGAGTTGTGTTTAATGATGATGATGTTTTTTGCACCAAGGACTGATGTTGAATTTTCGAATTTTAGTTATCATCACCACCAAAAAAGTGCTTCCTCCCTAGCTTCACATGGTGTTTCATGCATTAAGCAGTTTCCACTTGACTATATGCACCTTGTATGTTTAGGTGTTACTCGGCGCTTGCTCACTTTCCTTAAAAATGGGCCAAAAATTTGCAAGCTGTCTTCCAGACATATACTGCAAATATCCGAGAGCTTGATGTTGTTACATGGAAACATGCCAAGTGAATTTGCAAGACAACCAAGGTCGTTGGTTGAACTTG